CCCCAAAACCCCAAAACCCCAAAACCCCAAAACCCCAAAAAGAGGTAAAAATATGGAAAAATTAGTAGTTATAAAAATAAAATGTCACAAACCGTAGCAACAACAGCATGGATTGCTGCAGCGCTGACCTTACTATTCAGCGGGTATCTCTTCTACGAGTACATCCTAGACTTCAACATTGGGGATGAGTACACCTATTCCAACTACTCAAGCTTAACAACAGAACACTACGACCTCCGAATGGAATTAGATTTTGATAACAAAGTTATTGTAGGAGAGCAATTATTAAAAATGAAATCCCTCAGCAATTTCCTAATGGAAGCTACACTTGATATCAAAGACTTAGACATCCTAGAAGTGCTATATAACGGATCACCAGCTGATTATAGAATCTCTAACACAAGGCCTAAGATAGGCCAGGCCCTCAGAATCTCAATCCCGTTCCAATTCATTGGCAATGAATTTGAGATTTTGGTAAAATATAAGACTCATCCAGAAGCTTCTGGTGTAAGCTGGTTAGACAAGACTCAAACACCTGGGAACAAGATGGCTTACTTATTTACTCATTGTGAGACTATTAACTGCAGGTCAATAGCACCCTTCCAGGACACTCCAATGGTGAAAAGCACTTTCACTGCACATATTGTAACTCCTGAAAATATGATTGTTAGAGCGACCGGTAATCTTACCCAAGAATTTGATTATACAAATTTCAGGTCAACAAAATTTGAGAGCAAGATTCCAATTCCTTCTTATCTGTTCGGCATTGTTGCTGGTGATCTCCAAGAGAGTGATATTGATGCTGAAGGAAGAATAAAGGTCATTACCGAACGAGCTCTGATGAGAGAAGCACAATCCTCTCTTTCAGTCCTTGAACAAGCCTTATCGACTCTGGAGGAGTACCTGACAGATTATATCTGGGGAGATTACAAGATAGTAATTCAGCCTCCTAGTTTCCCACATGGAGGAATGGAAAATCCTTTGTTGAACTTTGCGTCATATACTAAGATTCAGGGAGACGCTTCATCTGTAGACGATACCATCCATGAAATCGCTCATTCTTGGGCAGGCAACCTAGTCACCCCTAAAAACTGGAATGAAGTCTGGCTAAAAGAAGCTATGGCCACATTCCTCGAGAGAAAAGTTGTTCATAAAATTTATGGCGAATCTGCTTACAAAGACAAGGCGATGAGAGGCAAGCTCTCAATGGAAGACAAGATCATCGAAGTTGGAGCTGATAGCGAATATACCAGACTCATCCCTGACCCTAACAAAGTTAGTGATCCAGACCATATCCTAACTGCCATCCAGGCAGAGAAAGGATTTGAGCTACTTGCGCTTATGGAAGAATTGGTTGGAGAAGCCTTATTTAAAGATTTCTTGGTGGAATATTTTAATACCTTCGAGTTCCAAAATGTTGACTCGAAGCAGTTTGAGGACCTCTTCGTGGATTTCATTTACAGAGCTTTCGATCATCAGACAGCTTTGAGAATCTACGAGGGTGTTAACTTCAACCAATGGCTGAGAGGTTATGGAGCTCCACCAGAAGGAGTGAACTTCCTTACTCCTGAAGCAGAAAGAGCCATCAACTTGGCTGAAGAGTACATCATTGCTGCAGGTGCAAGTACTCCTTCAGGATGGAAAGATTGGCAAAGATTCTCAGTTGACTTGAAGTACATCTTCTTGAAACACTTCCTTGATGATATTAGTAGACTTAACAAAGACTTAGTTGACTTAATAGATGGAAATAATGACTTGTACTACCTAACCAATCCTGATCTGATCTCTCTGTTCATGCAGATTGGTATTGCTGGTGATTACTATGAGTATCCATTCAGGTTCCCAGTAGAGTTCGTCTCCATTGTTGGAAATTATGAACTAATAGCACCTATTTATGCTCAAATGGTCCTGAAGAATGAAGAGGGAGCCCAAAGAGTATTTTATGAGAATGAAAACTTTTACTCACCCAATATCAGAGAAGACTTGAAGAAAATTGTTGGTATTTTGTAAAAATATATTCAAATAAAATTTTACTGTCAGGGGTTTTGGGGTTTTGGGGTTTTGGGGTTTTGGGG